AGTTAATCATGTGTTTTAAAGTAATAAATTTTAAAGATTATGAACAGCAAACAAATATTTACTATAAATCACAGACCCTGATACGTTAGTTTTAAAAATTTTTACGTATATTTGTGTCTCATATATTTATTTTCATTGAATAACATGGCCCAAAATGTTTCCACGGGTTGGTCTTTTCGGGTGATAATTACTTCAGGACCACAATAGATATGGACAAAATAATTGTAGTGTCTTGTAGGCTAATAAACACAGTTTCAATTCTATGTCTTGTTTTATAAACTTATTTTAAACAATTAATTTAAAACAAGATTACAAAAGTTTGGCGGATTTATGGAACCAGTCTATAATTTTTATTATACTAATATGTAAAATATACTAATATTAATTGCATAATAATTAGTCAAAATTGAAATTTGTAATAATGTTATTATTATAATTATTAATTGTAAAAATTATTACATTAGATTTATATAATATAAATTTGACATAATTAATCCAGTAAATAAAAATACATAAGTTAATAGGTAACTATTCTAAACAATGAATATAATTCTAAAATAAATCTAAATAATTGCACGTAAAATATTTATTCAAAATATAATTAACATAGCAGAATGTGAGATTTTTAATTTAAATATAAATTCATAATGATGATTGGATCAAAATTTAAAACATTTTTTAATAAAAATTTTAATAACTTTTATGTTATACTAAATACGTTTAATTAATTGTTGTAAATATTTAATACATTATAATTGTTTTATTTAAAACCGGTTAAAATGTAATTGCCCCTTGATTGGGCCAAAAATGTAATTGCCCGGGGCCAAAATATAATGGCTCCGGGGCCAAAAAGTAATTGCCCCGGGGCTAAAAAATAATGGCCCCGTGGCCGGGGCCATAAAATGCCCCAGGGTCTATTTAGATGTACTTTGATATTTGGTTTTATAAAACTTAGTAAATAACATTGTTATTATACATTATTAATTTAATTAAAGTAAAACAATGTGTGATTATTCAATGTTTTTAAATTAAATAACGAATTATAATTATTGCAATATATTGTTATATTATTTGAATAGCAAAATAACTAAATTATAGCTGTACAATAATATTATATAAATAACTAATAAAATATAATTTAAAGTGTTTAAATTTTTAGATTAAATTTTATTAAATGAAATAAAAATATGTTAAATTTTTTATATATCTAATATAGCAAAAAAAATTAGCAATGTTAGTCCATTTAAGTACTTAGCACATTAAACAATCATGATAAATACAGATAAAAAATTCCTATGTACACAAAATGCTTGTCCGTTGTATTAGCGTTAATGTTGTGGCCGTACACCCGGGCCACGTGCAGACAGATATGGGCGGTCATAGAGCAGCCATTAGTGTTGAGACTAGTGTTAATGGTATACTAAATTTAATAAATAATTTAACTGAAAACGATGCTGGCAAGTTAATATTCTACAACGGCAACTAGCTACCATACTAAATGAGTTTATCAGGATTGTATGTGTATTGTAATGGTATGTGCAATTATTAATGATACGAATTAATATTTAAAGTTGTGTGTATTTTTAAATTTACAACATTATATACTTTATAATTGTACTTATAATTGTAATTGTTTTGTTTGACATAAAGTACACTAAAATGAGTTTTATCGTGATGTTTGCAACAAAATTACAGTGTAGTTCAGCATAAACGAAAATATCTAGCGCAAACAATTAAATAGAATCATTAATATTAAATTAAATATATTAAACTTTTTATACTATAATTTTACTTACAGCAATTAACGTTGACTTATTAAGTACACTATACCCTCCAATAGTGAACCCTAGAGTACCACTCGTTCGCAGGACAGTCAGTAACATAAGCCACTCCTTATATGTGGGATAATCGGGTAAATCGTTTGCATTCACGGCATCGAAAGCGGCGTTCAATTCATTAACCTTTTGCTGAACTGAACCGCAGACCAGACACGAGACGACCAGTTCTACGACGGCTGACACACAATTTAATGACCAAAATAGCATACCATTGGTCAGCTTTTTGCCAATATTAACACGTGGATCATTACTATATGGTCCAATTATTACTAGAACATATATTTGAAACATTACCCCGATTATTGTTGTTAACGTGTTTGAGACCATAATATACCGTATTTTCTCGTCTATTGTACCAATGATTTTATGCAAATATATTATAGTTTGTTTTATTTTAATGATGGTATTAGAATTTACTGTTCAAATAAACAAATAATATTTTAAAAATAAACTAGATTCTTTGAAATCTACGTTTAGTATTTTAAAATATACCTGAATTTTTGTTTAGCCTGAATACATTTAACATATCATTTAGGAAATAATACACAAATACCGATACGATCCAGATCAGTAACGGTACAATCCACATATAGATTATTCCCACATATAAGCATAGCCAGAACATAAAATCACCAAATGTATTATAATGGACAACTGCGGTTGCTAAAAACAGCACAATTATTATTACGTGTCGTGCCAACCAGAGGCATAATATTATAAAAATTAACTTATTGAATTTGTGACCAAGCCTCATTTTAAATCTAAATAAATTCGTACAATTGCTGATCAACTCGTACCCAAAGTTACCGTTTAGCAATAGTACAGTTACGTTTTTTGTGATTAGCCCCAGCAATTGTAAGGGTACTACACCAAACGTTATAGTCTTGAGTACTGAGGGTATTTGGCCATTATCGTTTAATAAAATGACCAGGGTTATAATGTTATTGTAGACTGAAAATATATCCCATCCAATTATATATAGTTGTAGTAAATAGCCGTAATATTTGTAGCGTGTTTTCTGATATAACTGACCATTTAGTCCAAGACTGAGGCCATTAAATGATATGCCAAAAATACGGTATAAATATAATAATAATTTTGATATTAAACGATAATTTAGATTTAAAAGTCGCATAGTAAAATTATGAACAATTGTGTTTTTAGATTAATATTGTGTTGTAATAATGTTGTTAATTTGATTTTAATTTACTAATATGATATTTTAATACAAATAATTTTTCATTCTTACCTAAAGAATATTATTTTATTATTCTAAATACAAATGCTAAGTTAATTTTACAAAGTGCATTTTGAATAAACATTTTTATGTAATATTAACTACATTAAGTAATTAATTGGTGGGCAAATTATTTACATTTCGTCTATTTTAATAATATCTATTGTTCAGAGTAATCTATACAATTGACCTGGACATCGACCGTTATTTTGAGGTTCAAAAAATAATTATGCCTATCGTGTAGAGAATCAAAAAGTAGAATAGGAATGTAATAGTAAGAAAAAATCCTATGATGTAACTTTCGAGATAATGGTCAAAACAAAAAACCCTCCCCCATATACTCTCCCATAGAAAAAAAGTTAAAATTCAATTAAATACTATTGTACAAGATTACTCTCATGTCGATTGTACACTTTTTAATATAACAAATATATTCTGTTACAATAAACATGTTTATTATTTATTTTGCATTCTGATATTAATTGTAAAATATTGATTTTATTGTATAGCTAGATACTTTAAAAATTTACAAACAGAGTAAAGGAGTAAGTAAATGAGAGAGAGAGAGAGAGAGAGAGAGAGACGTGCTTTGATGATTGATGCGTTGGGCACAAGTCTAATAACTCGTGAATCTGATTACCGGTGAGCCGACACACCGGGCCATTAGCACTGAGGTTACACACAATGTAGAGATTACTTCACTTGAACAACAATACAACGACATAGCGTACACCCGAGTTGGAAATTACTGGAAAATATTTTGGATATCCTGTATAAAAGTTACAATTTTAATTTCAATTACTGCATTTTCCTGTATTTATTAATATTATTTAAAATTAGATTTAATTATAATTCATACAATTTTGAAAAAATCCTTTTGCTATAATTTTAGATTCTTTGACAATATATTTACAATCAAATTGATTGAGTTTAAATTTATTTGATTTATAGCATTAACTCAGACTTTGGGTGCACAGTGGGTTATAATAACTATATTAACAAGTAAATCTAAATATTTTATAATTTTACAATGTATTTCTAAAATATATATTGTATTCCTGTATTTTTTATGTGCAGGAATGACAACTTCCTGTACTCTGCAGAAGTCATTAATTACATATGCAAATTAGCTATAATGCAAACATACGACATTTAAAACATTTAATAAGAATTTAAATTGAAAGTTGTTACTAAAAATAATAATTTTAAAAAAGTCAGAAATCAAATCAATTTATTTTAAATTCTTTGTATTCATTTAAAATAACCATGTTCTTTACAATAACACAAATAAACTGCAGAGAGAGAGAGAGAGAGAGAGAGAGAGAGAGAGAGAGAGAGAGAGAGAGAGAGAGAGANTAAAATCAATATTTTACAATTAATATCAGAATGCAAAATAAATAATAAACATGTTTATTGTAACAGAATATATTTGTTATATTAAAAAGTGTACAATCGACATGAGAGAGAGAGAGAGAGAGAGAGAGACTAAAAGCTGAGCTTATCAAGGTTATTCTCAATCAAAAAGCGCAGTCTTGCAATAGAAAATTCTGCAAAATATAAAGTGCTGTACAGGTGTACTGCATTACATTGCATTACTGTACAGAACTGTATATAATGCACTTTTAGTGCATTTTAGTGCATTGCAAACAAAACTCTGTAATAAGCTATATACTATTAAAAGGTACAGTTTTGGTACACAATTAGTCCTGCCTACATTATTATTTTGTATTATTCTACCCATGCATATTACAAACATAATGTGTTGTGTATATGTATAAAAATACTAAATCAAATACTGACATGTATATTATCAATTATGTTGCAAAGTATAAAAACACTTCACAAAATAAAATTTTCGAGCATATCATTTAAGTAATTTAACTTGATACGATATTATATTTAATAGAATTATAAAGTATATAAAGTAAGTATGAATACTGAGTCTGTATTGATTACGGGCGCCAATCGTGGTATTGGTTTGGAAATAGTGCGACAAATATTGACGGACAGCACCCGCACCGATGGCGGGCCCACACATGTGATCGCCACTACACGACAGGCCACTAATGCGGCGTTAGATGAGCTCCGGGCCAGTCATAAAAACTTACATGTCCTACAACTGGACGGTACGGACTATAAGAGTTTTGATGGCTTTGCCAAACAAGTGGCCGATATTGTGGGCGACAGGGGTTTAGATACTCTCATCAATAACGCCGGCATTTTTCTATGGAAAAACCTTGATGAAACAACCGCTGAACATATGGTGACCAACTTTGAAGTGAATTCCGTGGGACCACTGATGCTCACCAAAGCCTTGCTACCAGTGCTTAAGGTAAAACAATATACTATAATATAACTAATTTAAACTTATTGATAAATAAACTATTAATTAATAACTAAACGATGATAATAAACAAACATTTTAAATCTTTATACTTTAATTAACTAATGTAGAAATCGGCGGCAACCAAGCGCAAAACCATCATTATCAACATAGGTGCTTTGCTGGGCTCGATTCAGGACATTGATAAATTCAAAGAGTTTATGTTTTACCCGTACGTTGTGAGCAAAGCCGCATTGAACATGATCAGTAAATGTTTGGATGTTGACCTGGCCCCACATGGCATTAGGTCGGTGGTGATTCACCCTGGTCATGTGGCCACAGATATGGGTGGTCTGCACGGTGCGCTTACCCCGGAGCAAAGTGTGACCCAGGTACTTCGCACTGCTAACAATGTTAAGAATTCCGATTATGGCAAGATGCTTAATTATGATGGTGCTGTGTTGCCGTTTTAATTGGTTATTATAAGCACTGGAACTATGATTTTTTAGATTTACTATGTTACTTATTCAAATTGTATTATTTTTTATTAAATTAGTTAATAATAAAATTATTATTATTTTGGATATGGTGTATTTTTTGTTAGCATAATGTTAAATTGATTAAATATTTATTTTAAAAATTAATTTTATGCATTTATATAAATCAACAAAATAATTTTTTAAAAATATTTGTTTGACATTTATTTTTGTTAATTTTATAATTTATTTAGTTAAACTTTATTGTTTTATTCAATCAAAATTAAATTACTATTATTAAAAATATCTAGTAGATTTTAAATTATTAAATTTTTATTAATTAAAAATTATTTTAATAACCTTGTTTAATTTATTTAAAATCTAATCAAACTTTTACGTAAATATTTATAAATATTATTTAGCAAATTAATCAAATAAATATAAATAAAAATGTAAAAACTACTTTGTATATTAATATGACATAATTATTTAATTGATATTGGTTAGAAAACACTGTGTAGCAATCACTACAAATTTAAAATTAAATTACATATAGAATATATAATTCAAATAAGTGATAAATTCTAATATTCTAACTTAAAGATATAGTAAATAGTTTAAAATAACTACTATTGTTAAATAATTATAATTTAATATTGAGAGATGCTTATATTAATTATGTTCACTGTTTTCAAATTAATATGATCAATATACTGTACTTTAATATAATTATAATATAATACTAATCATATTAACCTTTTCTTGTCTTATCAATATAAGAATTATTTGATTTGTTAATTTTAAGTGTGTAAAAGATCTAACACAACTAATCAAGGTCAGGCAAATAAGTGCAATTGCGAACATTTTATGATGTACAGTATATACATGTATTTTACCAACATTATTGTCAACAATTGATTAATAAATATTGGTGCAAACATATTTACGTAATTTACAAACATTGTTTATAAGTACTATAAGTTCAGTTTTCGGACAACGTAGTTAATTAACGTAAAATAATTAAATTGATTAAGAGATAAAATCCATCAACACAATTTACTACTTATATAAATACATGTTAAGATTTTATATAAATTATTTACTTGTTTGAATAAGCTATTAATTAGTTATATTACTATTTATTAACTAAATTGACAAATAATGAATTATGAGTCTGTATTGATTACTGGTGCCAATCGTGGCATTGGTCTGGAATTAGTGCGACAACTGTTGGCCAACACCGGCACCGATGGCGGGCCCACACATGTGATCGCCACTACACGACAGGCC